GTTTAGGGTTTAGGGTTGGGACTCAGAGCTTTTCTACCCTGGGGCTCCATAGCCCAAAGTAGGTGATATTTACAGACTTTAGACCCCGAAGTAGGTAGTATTTCTATACTTGGAGCCTTGGGGCTAGGGTTTGGGATAGGCGTGTTGTTTAGGGTTGCGGCAGGGTTCTGTAGCAGGGTCCAAGGGTTTAGTAGGATTCAGGGTGCAGCAGCAGAGATGATTTGTAGGATATTTGTTTGATATGGTAGTCTTTCTTGCTAGCTAGTAGCATCCTTGATGCCGCTACTCGAGTCACTGAGCCATCTCCATAGTTGCGCAGATTGAGTCGAGGAGTCTCCTGTACCCGTACTATCAGAGTAGGTGCACTTGCCTGCATCACCGACGTAAGGCGCATTAAAATGGTTGTTAATACCGACAAACTGCACGTCTCATACTTCCGAAACACCTTTGTTCAGAATATAGCGTGGCAAGGGCCATATATGCTTAGGGCTTACGACATCTGCGACGACCTGCTCCGCGCAGGGTAGTATCATGCATACACCCTAAGTTAGAGTTCGTAGCGAACCTACAGGAAGTAGGCTTCGGAAGTTTATGCTGGGGTTTCGGAATTCGGGAAGTCTGTTTAAGACAGGCTAGCATGAGAAGGAAAGCATAGCACTTTCGTACCTTCCTACTTCCTATCTAAGAGTTTATTTATCTATCTGTCTACCTATCTGGTCTCGATGTACCTACCTGTCTAACGATCTGTCTATCTGTGTATCTATCTGACAGGGCATCATGGGATCTCAATGTCCTTCGGTGTTCAGGGCCCTTTAGCCGTAGTTTCGGGTTTAGGGTTTAGTGTAGGGTTTAGGGTTTAGGCTTTCCTAGACCCCCCAACTACCCTCTACTATACCCCAAATACCCACTATTAAGTACCATAGCCCTAAACCCTAAACCCTAAACCCGAACTATTGCAGGTCCATTGGGGGTCCTGCTTGAGGCGCCCTGGCAAGCTCCTGCAGTTCAAAGGGGCTGTGGCTGACTCGCCGGCCAATACCCATTGCGTGCACGGCGTCGCCGCTCCCCGGCATTGTAGAAGTCCTCGTCTGCCAGAGCTTCTGAAACTCTGCTAGGTTCTATTGAACATGCTGATTTTGAAGGTGTTGAACGACTTGTTTACCATTAATTTTTGATTTATATCTTTTTTCTACCTTCTGCCCCTACCCTATATTGCTATAAAAAACCAGAAAAGCCCAAAAGCCTTGTACCCTTAGAGCCTTAACCCCCTAATTCTTGAATATGGTTGAGATGGTGCTGGCTGCATTTTCGTGGCTATGTCTTGGTGCCCTATTCTTACACAAATTCTCCCGGATACTAACCCTAAGCCCTAAACCCTATACAAACCATGGCTCTGCTAAACTGAAGTACCCTAAACCCTAAACCCTAAACTCTCTGGGAGGGAAGCCAGGTTCTTGGAAATTTCTCAACCGAATCAATGCGTCTGCCAGGGGACGTGAGTTTCCGTTAGAGTTCAAGCATACTGGTACTAGTTACCCATAGGCCCTAAAGTAGTTCCTTTTTGGGGTTCATATATCCTATAAGGTAATCCCGAAAGGAACTACTATGGGGCCTCGGGTAGTTACTAGCAGATCGTGCAGCGATTTTGCCCGGAAGTCGAAACGGCAACCGTCTGAGTCCAACAGCCTGCTTTCTGTACTTGGGAAGAAGGCCTAACCCTAAACCCTAAACCCTAAACGGTCCCTATACGGTTTATATTTCCATGCCGCAGGGGTCAAGGCCTAGAGCTAAACCCCAAACGCCTAAACCCTAAACGCCTAAATCCCCAAACCCTAGAACTTGAACCCAACAGACCACCTCAAGTTAGACTCTGACGAGTGCCACACTTGAACTCCTATGAACAAGCTAGTATGGCATCTGTCTAACCCCAAGGCTCCAAGTATACAAATAGTACCTACTTTGGGTTCTAAAGTCTGTAAATATTACCTACTTTGGGCTATTTGGAGCCCCAGGGTAATGCATGAACCTTATGAACCCCGTTACACCATGTAGCACCCGACCTTGAAACAAACCTTATCAACACCATCCTAAACCCTAAACCCTAAACCCTAAACCTTAAACCCTTAACCCTAAACCCCTAAAAACAAACTCCAAGCCTTCAGATAGGAAGCCTGTGCTTGCGCCACACTCAGACCATAGAATGCCTTATACGGGGGGGAAGGAGGGATGCCACAGGGCTTTTCTGTAAGGCTGCTACCGTATTCGCACCACTTCGGCAGAGCCACAGGGTTTGGGATTGAGGGAGGAGAGAAAGATCTAAGGGACAGTGGTTTCTAGTACTGCTTTGTACTGCTATGCGCTTGCCTTAAAGGAAATGCCGCATGGGTGTACGTGAACTCTTATGGTTGGAGTTGATCACGGGCTCAAATGTTCAGTTCTCGGGCTAACAAGGTTGGCTGTAGGTTCGAGGTCCTTGGATTCAAATGGACGGGTAGGATGTTGAGCTGTGCATGGGTCGGAGGTGGATAGGAAGAAAGTGATTCAGAGGCGTTCGTTGTGCAGTACCGAGAGTCTGTTGCGTATAAAGTGTCAGCCTACTTCCACTTAACTATGCAGTCCCTGGGGCTCCAAATAGCCCGAAGTAGGTAATATTTACAGCCTTTAAACCCCAAAGCAGGTACTATTTGTATACTTGGAGCCTTGGGGATTGGCAAAAAACAGACTGCCAAGTCGTGCAATACACTTCCAGACTGCAGAGTTTCGCTTGGGGAAATCTGCAAATTGCTGGCGGTATGTCCTTGGTTTGCCCCACAAAGCCCAACGCTGAGGTCTAAAGAACTGTTTTGTAAGAGAGGGCACTGGTCGAAAGTCATGGGGCGCACCATCAGTCACCTAAACCTCTACGATTTGCCCGGCATGTTGCCGTGAGGAAGGCACAGACCATCGTCCCGGTACGGCCATGCCCTCCCCAACAGTGCCTTGCAATGGACTGAGGTTCTTAGGGTTCAGGGCGTTCTGGGCGAATTGGTTCGACATTATACCCAAAAGGGCCGCATAACCCTCAAGTATGGAAAGTACACTTAATCACAGAGTGCATTTTGCTCGGAGTGAATCTACCTAAACCCTAAACCCTAAACCCTATAACACAAAAAGCTAACTAGGGCGTCGAGGGCCAACTTCGGGTTTGGAGGGTCCCAGGAATCACCGGGTAATCCGCTGGGTTCGGGATAGTAGATATAGGTGAACAGGATGAATACTCTGGCAAAAATACTGAGGTAAACGTGGATGCTTGGAGAAGCCTAAACCCTAAACCCA